AAGTTTCCACAGTCAGTGATGGTTTGGGGTGCCATGTCATCTGCTGGTGTTGGTCCACTGTGTTCTCTGAGGTCCAAGGTCAACGCAGCCGTCTACCAGGAAGTTTTAGAGCACTTCATGCTTCCTGCTGCTGACCAACTTTATGGAGATGCAGATTTCATTTTCCAACAGGACTTGGCACCTGCACACAGTGCCAAAGCTACCAGTACCTGGTTTAAGGACCATGGTATCCCTGTTCTTAATTGGCCAGCAAACTCGCCTGACCTTAACCCTATAGAAAATCTATGGGGTATTGTGAAGAGGAAGATGCGATACGTCAGACCTAAAAATGCAGAAGAGCTGAAGGCCACTATCAGAGCAACCTGGGCTCTCATAACACCTGAGCAGTGCCACAGACTGATCGACTCCATGCCACGCCGCATTGCTGCAGTAATTCAGGCAAAAGGAGCCCCAACTAAGTACTGAGTGCTGTACATGCTCATACTTTTCATGTTCATACTTTTCAGTTGGCCAACATTTCTAAAAATCCTTTTTTTGTATTGGTCTTAAGTAATATTCAAATTTTCGGAGATACTGAATTAATGAATGAATTAGTTGTCAGTTTTAATCATCACAATTAAATGAAATAAACATTTGAAATATATCAGTCTGTGTGTAATGAATGAATATAATATCCAAGTTTCACTTTTTGAATGGAATTAATAAAATAAATGAACTTTTTGATGATATTCTAATTATATGACCAGCACCTGTACACTGTGCTGAGGGTGGGGAGGTGGGGGATAAAACATAAAAATACCTCATGTAAACACCAGGTGGGGCCATAGTGATGCCAAATCGTATGGCAGCAGTCTGAAACTCAGGAGAGATCCCCGGGTCAACAAACTTCTGGTAACCTGTAAACGCATAAATCAGAACATAACACGAAACAATAAAAGGAAAACAAAATAACAAAAAGTAAACTCAAAATCATCCAAATGGTCAAAGTGAGACAACAAACGCAGCACAACTATGAAAATAAAGAGTCATTATCGTGATGGGGTCATCAGATCATTGTCCCTTTAACTTTCTTCAGCTGCGGGTGCTTGTTCAGCAGAAAAAGGAGACTCAGGGTGATGCTTTGCTGACGGAGCACATATTTGTCAAAAACCACCAACGATAGCTCACCTCACCGCGGCTTGTGGTCACCAGTGCATTACCTGTTCCCCTCCACTTGTACGCACACGCACTCTGGCTGAGTCTTACCTGGGTAAGGAGGAAGAGTTTTGTTTCCAAGATATCCAGGCAGCCATTCGTAGAGAGCAATATTCTGTGTGGAAATATAGGAGGGATAAACATTATTGCAGCCTTTTTGAATCCACATGAAAACTGAACTTGTTGCATGGAGTTTGATGATAATACATCCTGCGAATATTATTTTTTAATTGTCTTTTCATCCTTTTTTTTTAATAGTTTCGATAGATAGAAAAAAAGTCTTTTTGAGATTTTTTGATATCACTAATATTTGATTCTAAAGCCTGCATGTTGAAGTGTCCTTGGGCAATCCCAGATTGTTCCTGCATGTAAGTGTGTGAGAATGATTAGTTTCCTTCCAATGAACAGTAGACACTTTGCATGGTAGCCACTGCCATCAGTGTGTGAATGTGAATGTGTGAAAGTGACATGTAAAGTGCTTTGAGTGGTCGGAAGACTAGAAATGCGCAATACATAAGTACAGTCCATTTACCAAATAGTTTCATTAGCTTTTGAAAGAGTAGAAGATAGTAGAAAAAGTCACTAATTGTTGTTCAAGACAGTTCTTGCAAACAGAATTGACTAATCAAACAATTAAGAGATGATGCATTTGCACTTAAACCATTAATTTCATCCATTAAACCACAACCACCTGGTGTTCATGCAACCTCGCTCTTTCCAGAGTGCAAATTAAATCAACGCCTGTGTAGCATGTGGATTACATGGAGACTTTCCTTCTACCTGGAATGTGGCCACAACGGTCTTCCTGGCGTTTTGAAACAGCTTTTCGTCTGCCCACTCTGGGTGTTCCTCATGCAGTTTGGAGGCTATATAATTGTGGTAGCGAAACCAGATAATCCCCTCAGCTGCCGTGAACATGTTCTCATTGGCCCAGGCATTTCCCAACTCTAGACACAGAAAATGGCACAAATTATAGGAAATTCTTCTATTCCATCGTGTGAATTAGCTGCAACTCAATAAACAGAGAATAGGCTATATGTGATGTTTTTTTGCACTGAAAGTAGTACCAAAATTCACAAATATTCTCCACAATATCTTTGTAGTGTCACAATCCCATTTCATTTATTGATGAGGATCTCTGACCACTAATGGAACGATAATTTGGTAATTTGGTTGATAATTTGTTTGTTTTTAAGGACATGACAACAGTGCAGTGACAACAGGAGAAGATCCTCCGCCTCCGCCCCAGATAATCAGATAATAACTAGACACCTTTAACAACACAAGCAACAAAACACTGGTTTCATGACTCCTGAACGGCATCCTCTATGCTATAGAGAGAGGGATTTACTGTGGTGAGTGTGACAAGCCATTTACACAATAATTAAAGAGTCACACGTCAGGCAGGACCTCTCGTGACTCAGACCTGCAAGCTGCAACCCTGATCAAAGCAGACCAGGGTAAAATAAGCCAAACACACACTAAAACATATTCAATCTTATATATTCAATATTATATATGATATATGCATTCAGATAGTTTTGGTGTGATTTGCTAAGATCTATTATGTTTATTGTTTATTACCATTATGTTTTGGGGCTTTAAAGGCCAAATATTTAATGTGATTGAGCTCCACTGCTTTGGGCCCCAGCCAACATCTCTTCAATAAATCACATTTAACTATGATTGTTGGTTGGATGTACTGCACTACAGGTAAGAAGGAAATTAATGTATGCGTGAATCGTGCTTTTCATTGAAATGTCCCTTTAATCAATGACATACTGTAGGAGTCAGATTAGTGCACCTGTCTGCAACTAACAGCTCCGCTGGCATATCTATAAAGGCCCCTGATGATATAAATCACCCCTGTCTGGTCTGTCTCACCATAAAGGCCATGGGGTCCATGATCGCCTGTAGAGGGGTCAGCGGCGCTCCACATGAAATTGCGTCCTGATTCCTGATTTGGCATGTTCAACTCAGAACCTGAAGACAACAGCCCACCAGAGAAGCTTCTCAGGGAGTCAGACCAGGATGTGGAGGGGCCATAGATGGAGCTGCCATCAATCCATGCTGTCACCAAGTTCACCTGCATGTGTTGTGTTAGTTTTTCTCATTTATCAATTATGGCACTTCAGGAAAAGGAAATGTAGGGTAACATAATGTAGGCTAATGCTTACCTCCAGAACTGCCTGAACTGTTATGGTACATACTGTTTACATTTACTGATTGTTTCTGGAGGCTGCAGTTTGGCAAAAACATTAACAAATGTGTTAATTTATATTGAAAACAGTCACTAATCAGCACCTGTGTGCGAGGGTTACTGGGACTCTGGCCGGACTCTTTGTCCCAAGGTCCTCTCTGGAAGGGCAGCAGGACCTTTCCGGTGGCAGTAGGGTCAAAGACCGGGTCACCTTCTGGGACCGGGATGTTCATGAACTCAGGTGGACACCCAGGAGTTCTTGAGTCAAAAATTTCAAAAGTCACATGATAACCTGAGAAGTAAAAATGATTAAAAGTCATTACTACAAAAACATTTACCAAGCAAGTTCAAATGGTTGTCTTGACATGTTAGTGTTTTAATGTCTCCTAATTGCAGCTTTAAAAGCAACATCTGACTTAATTTCACTTTTAATGATGATATTAAAATCGGTAAGATATAGTGGGAAAATAATCTTCCTCACAACAAAAGTTCAGTTTATGTCAGTTTGTATTTCACGTTTGGCCACTCATTCATTCATTGTTGCGCTTCACTGCAACAGCATGTATTATATATTTACCAAAGAACAGAGAGAGCACGGTCTGGTTACGTGCTGAGGGAAGACCGGAGGGCCCCGCGGTCAGCAGGCTGCTCAGTCCGCGGGGGTTTGGCAGCTGAGGCTCCTGGAGAGGGTGGTAGACTCCGTCCTGGTAATGCGCGGGCACGAGGCGCACAAGGTGAGAACCTGAGCAGGCACAAACACAGAGCGGTGTCCAGGTATGTTGGCATGCTGCGCTAATGCTGCTGACGCTGCTGCACACTTTGGCAGCTCTATGACTTACCAATAGCTCCGCGTCGGGGATATCCCAAACTGTTGTACCAGCCGTCAAATCGCGGAACCTCCCAGGTTATTTCACAGCGTGAATCTGTTCAACACATGTCGAGATTTAAACAGCGTTTCTTATTGTAAATGTCTCAGTTGACTCAGTTAAGTGACTCTGAGTATGAAGTTGCAAACTGCTGTCTACTTACGTTCACTGACACAGAGAAGCAAGCCAACCGCTGCACAGATACTCCAAATCCGTTTACGCAAATCCATTGATGCGAGAGATGCTCTTCGGTGCAGTCCGCAGCCAAGAGGAGCGAAGAACTTCTGGAAAGACGAGGTGAAGGTAACTGACATTTACTGTTGTATTTCTGTTAGATTCACAGTAATAAAGCCTACTTTGCGGTTTAGTAGTGATTAGAAAAAAAGTCTGGAAGTCTAACTCTACTGTAGCCTACAGGTGAAGCATTTTGTCTGCTTGAATGAACAGCAAAACTTTACAAAACTTTGGCACTGTTCCTATTTGTCATGAATGTAAACCGCAGACATTCGAAGACAATATCCTGTTTCCTCTATCACTTTGCATTTGATGAAAAGATGAATTAGTTTAGTCTTACCCACTGTAGAGGCTGAAATGCAGTGCAGAAGTGGTACAGGTGAGGGATGGTGAACTGCTAAAGCCAACATGTGATGCACACCTTATCACAAACTGTGTGTGACCTGTGTTGCCCAAATGAGAATGGCCATCATCTCTGGATCACACCTCTTTTCCACAGGATTCCAGTCAATGCATCCTCCTCCCCAGTGACAGAAAGGGGGCCAGGGTATAAAAGAAGTGTATGTTTCCTCAACATTAACAGTTCACTCTCACATCTTCACTCCTCGTCTTTCAACTGTTGGGTAAGAAAAATCTTTCGGATTTGAAATTTTCTCTGTTTGATTAATTGGTTTTATGTGAAACTTTTCTTCTCATTTAGATTCAAATTAATGCATTACAATCAAGACGGGGCTAAGTCAGGGGCACCTATTTACATTACACTGACTGAAGTGGATGTATAGTATTGCATGGCTTTGTGCTGTATACAGATGTATTTATATCTTGCAGGAAACGTAAAAGTGCCAGGGAATGTTGTATGACAAGTTAGATATGGTTTTGCTTAATCATGTGCCATGCTACACAGCAGTAAAATGCCCCATCCTTTATCTACTTTAAAGAACAAGAGCTGCTATCTGTACATCTGGAGGAAACTGAGAACCCAACCACTAACACTGTGTTCACTGTTGCAGTAGTCTAGTCTCAGCTGTGTCCGTAAGATCCGGAGCTAAGATGACTTTCTACGATGACATTTACCCATTCTACCCTCTACAAAGGACCTCCTTCATCTTCAATAGCAGCTTGCTAACTATTATCCTGGTATTCCTTGTGCTAGCAGTCAGTCTTCTTCTCATTCTGCCAGGGATACGAGGGAAGTCGGTGAGTGCAACCCATAAGATAAACTATTTACTCACTGCAGTCATGTCACAAAACGTCATAATTGTTGTCTCCTTATAGGGTTGACATTTTTTTAAACTGCAAAATAATGACAACATTTTATATACATATGTTATATATATAACATTTCATTTCAAGTGCTCACCTTTTTCATTCAATTCGTCTGAACTGATTTTGATTCTGCTCTTTTTCTTCCTTTCAGAGGCTGTTCTGGATGATTAGAATAATTATCAGTTTGTTCATAGGGGCGGTGATAGTGGGTGAGTTTTATATTCTTATCACTGTTGCTGAATAAATCACAAATTCTACTTTTCTTGCCAACATCATTCACCTCTGTGTGCCTCCTCTGTAGCACTCAACTTTACTGACAACTGGGCTGAGGCCAGAGTGACCACTAATGCCACCTACAAGTCTTTCAGCAATGCAGTGGTTAACGCTGAGATCGGCTTGCACGTTGGACTGTACGGCATTAATGTTACACTAAAAGGTGAGTCACTGTTGCTGTTGTCATGTGTAGATTTAATGTAACACACATTATACTGGCAGCTAGATCACTGATTTAGACGTTGACTTAATCGTTGATCAAATATTCTGGACAAAGTTCTGTCATAAATAGTAAAAACTACAATTCCAGTTTGTGGGATAACATGTCAGTATTCTTGCTCTGCAGTTATATATAGTATTTTTTTTAAATCTATCTTGTAAATTAATTTTCATTTTTTCATAATGCATGTACATACATTTTCCCCTCTTTTCTCTCTTAGGGAATCCTATTGTACAGTTCAATGAGACAATTGACTACAATGAGATGTTCAGCTGGCACAACACTATTGAAAAAGAGTATGAGGAAGCTCTGGAGAAAGGGTTACCTAACCCCATCCTGTACATTGCTGAGAAATTCACCCTCAGCAGCCCATGTGGACTCATCTTTCAGTACAGATACTCTGGACGATACGCTTCTGCAACACTCTGGTAACATCACTGCTTACAGTTTGGTATTAACATTAATAAACTGTCAATTTCAGAAGACGGTTGTTAAAAGTAACCAACATTAAATTGTCTGCACACTTTCACAGGACGGCATTTTGCTGCTGGATGCTCGCCAATATCCTCCTCTCCATGCCGGTCATTCTGTATGCTGGATACATGATGATGGCCACCGCTGCCTTCATCTTCTTCGCCATGGCCTCCTTCTCCACCATCATGAATGCGCCACAGTGTGTTTTCTCCATAGGAAGTGACTCCTTTGAAACTGATTACAGCCATTCATTCTGGCTGGCTCTGGCTACAGGTGAAGATAAGAGGCTGCACATTCAGTTCATATGTTTTGTTCATTAAACTGGCATACAAGACCTGAAGGGAGGTGATTTCTACTAACTGACATTTTGTCCAGGTGTGCTGTGCACCCTCATTGGGATTCTGGTGGTGATGTTAAACGTCATAATACCAGAGAAGATGAACGAGGCTTTCAGCATTGGTGTCGACAGTTATGAAGATGAGGACGGATCTTATGGGGAGGGGTACCTGAATTCAGTTTTCCTTAATGAAGTGACAACTTTACCAATGACATCAAATGTCAAGGCGGTAAGTTGGTGACACCCGAAGGGAAGTAATTCCTTTCAACCATCAAGTAACATTTTGCTGCTTGTAAATTGATTTGTCATTTATTTACAAGCAGCAACGGTACATTATTCATTGTCTTTTCATGAATTTGTTGGAAAACTTGACTTTGATATACATTTATTGTTTCAAATTACATATTCAGTTCTACTTTAGGACATTTGAGCAATGTGACCAATGCAGTATAAATAAGGATGCAAGACTATAATAAAATGGATCACTGATATACATCCTGAATCCAGAGTGCTGCACTTTTATGTCCATATATCATTTAAGGATATTATTCCTGCTGTTGCAGCTCATTGACATTTTATATTTTGTTTCTGTGTTTTAGGAACATATATGAAGCCGTCCAGGTTTCCCTCAGGGAGCTTTTCCAGAAAATACTTGAAGATATTTTTGCTGAATATGTTACAGATGAGTGTCTAATTTCACAATTGTTTATTATTAATGTTTATTATCTATGTGACCTTCTTAAGTGTTATAATTGATTTAACTGTAAATAGTTGTAAAGTTCATTGTCATGCTGCAGTAGTTGTAAGTACAATATATAAATGTATGGGATCCATACAGTATGTGTATATACACTGATCAATATGGAATATAGATCAGTCATTGTTCAACTCTTTTTTCATTAGCAATTAACAAATGTTATGTACTAACTGATATTGATTACTTTGATGTTTGATAGCCTCTTCAGGATTTCTTGCAATGCATGCATTTTGCCATAACAACAACATGTGGTTTAATTAGTATAGTTTCTGAGCGGTGTCATCGGTTGAAGTATCTATCTTTCACAGCTTTTGAGATCCAAATAAATGTGAAAACACGAGATGAAGAATGAATACCAAACTGCTTGGATAAGTACAACTGATTCATCTCTAATCCAGGCTAATGTACTTTATGTTTTACAAAATAAAAACAAAACAAACATCAAGCAGTGAGATAGCATTCTTAATGTTCTATAACATTACATTCATTCAGAAATGTATATTTTGATACATTCTTGTACTGTACGCTCTGGTAAAGGTACTGATCACCCATACTGTATGTCTTTGAAAAGTAGGTGTGTCTTTGGCCTTCAGCATCACCATAATACACATAGTTTGGTGCCTTTGTACAGCATATTGTCTTCATTTAATACTTATTGTAATAGATTATCGTCAGATTGAGAATGAATCCCTGGTAATTCTTCATAATAACATGCATATACTGTAGGAGTAATATGGCCTTCCCAACCAAGTCCTTGAGTAATCCAAAGTATTTACAGCAGAAGTACATTTTTAAACTCCATAGACATTATAAAAATGACTAAATAAAAAATAAATGTACTAATTTATCTCTTCATAAGAAAATAATCATGACCTTAAAGCTACTTCTCTTCACACACCAGAAACGCACATACAGTACTACAGACAGAGTATTCACATTGTAAGGCCATTATGACAATGTAATTCAAGATAAAACCTGAAAATGAGAACTGGATGTTCTTTACAGCATAGCAACAAGAGGCCGAAAAAAATAAAATGATAGAAAAATAAATTCTCCTCGTCCCACTGAGCCACTTGTCCATCATCTGTCCATCACCTCCACACGGTCAGACATGCAGAACTACAGTGGGCTGATCCATGCAGGGTCTCTATATGTAGATAGGCGTCTCCTGTCCTGTGAGCAGTCTGAACATCACAGCAGGCATTGTCTTCATGTTGATCTGGCAGACAGGCAGAGATCAGAGCAGCGGGCAAGATTACACAGTCAACTCAAAGAGCCAATTTATAGAGGTACATAAGCACATCACTTGAATCTAGTACTAATTTATTCCAGAGACAAACGACAAATAATTTTGAAAACTTTTTATGGATTTAATAGAAGTAGGAAGAAATTGGGAAAACACACAAATACAATTTCACACTATGTTAACAGCTGGTGAAATGTATAAGTAATGAAGCAGACCAAGAATGGTTGATAAAAAAGCTTTCCTTGGCCATAAATTAAGCAATTTGTATGCTAATAGTAAATTATCGACTGTAAGAAACACATTTATTACTTTGTCTTGAATCTACAAATTAAATTAATAGTTTGAAATTTTGGGAAATACATTCATTCACTCTCTTTCTGAGAGTTAGATAAGAAAATTTACACCAATCTTATATTTGTACAATAAAAATGAAGCTACAACAGGCAGCTGCTTAGCTTGGCATTAACACTGGAAACACGGGCAAACAGCTAGCTAGGCTCTGTCCAAAGTTAACAAAATGTTCTTACGAGAACACTGGTTAACACAAGACATCTTGTTTGTTTGACCAGCACAAAAAACGAAGTGTAAAAACAACACAATGTTGTTTTAGGGTTATGTGACAGACTATTTCCTTGCCCAGTAGAATTCCTACCACTACTTCCTTATAGTCATCCAGCAGAGGACACAAGGAAGTTACTGCTCTTGGAAAATAAATAATCCAGTGCATAAAACCCCACCCATCTACTCCACCCTCAGTATCAGCTTTTTTCCTTTGCTCCAGACCAGCGCAGGCTCAACCGGATGTTAAGAGCTCGTGTTCATCATAGCCATAAATTGCAAGTTAGACAAAGGCTAACTCCTGTAATGCTGCTTTCATTTTCAACTGTACACATGCACATTATATGATAACCATGTTAATGATGTTGCTTACTCGTACTGTGCATACTATGTACACCATTAGGATGGACAGGAATGTTGAATTGTGTGTCTGCATGTGTATGAGTGACAGATTGTCTATGTACTATGTTATAATATTTTAACAGCATACTGTATGTGTCAGACAAATTTACCTCACGACAATAAAGTCTATCTTATCTTACCTTATCTTCTAAAACTGAATCTTTCCTTTCCTGTGTCACGGAGCGCTTGTTCAAGGTGGGGTTGGGTTTGTTAAAAATATTACGAGTAAGCTCTAGACCTGCTCCACATGAAAAGTGCAATGAGATAACTTTTGTAATGAATTGGGGCTATGTAAATAAATACAATTGGATTTAATTGAGTTAGAAGTAATTTTTACATTCCAGTTTTTGTGCTGATTAAACAAACAAAATATAATGTGTTAATCAGTAAGTTTCAGGGGTGCTGGTAGGCAGCCGTTTCCCCCTGTTTGCAGCCTTTATGCTAAGCTAACAGCTACTGGTAGTAGCTTCATATTTATGGTACAGACATGACAGGGGTGTCTAACTTCTCATTTAATCCTCAAGAAGAAGGCGGATAAGTGTATTCCTCAGATGTCAAACTGTTCTTTTAAAACACAACATCCATTTTTGTGTCGGTAAGGATATGAACTGTAATTTGAAGAACTGACCAAAAGGAAATACGTTTTCTCAATCATCGTTCCTCTGCTATAGTTTATCTTCTTCTCCATAGAGATTTAAAATATTTAGCTTTTACCTTTTTACCAAGGTTTTATTGATTTTAGTTAGTGATTAAATGCATGCTGTAGTCCTGTATGTTTCCAATAATCTGGGCCTGGAACCACTCTACATAAAACTGGACTAATCTGTATGTATATCTTTAAAAGGCCTGCATGGTACAGTGATTTGTGTGGTGCAGTAATCAGTGAAAATTGCCATCTTGTAGCATGAGGAGTGCTTACCTCACCCACTGAGACAGACAGGGTTTGAACAATCTTCTCATGTGCCATGGCAACAACACTCTGACCATTTATTTCAATGATTCTGTGTCCAACACGAACACCGCCTCGCTCAGCTATGCCACCTCGCATCAGACTGCAGATCTGAGGATGTGAAAATGACACTTTATATGTCTCTGCGTAGTATACAGCACAATCCTCACTCTTTCAAAACAGTGGCGCTCTTCAGAAGTTGGCAACCGTTCATTTTGAGCCTCAACCTAAAGTTGTCGTGCTTCATACTAACAAGGGCTTACTCACAATGCCATTCTGCACACTGAAACCAAGCTGGAACTTGAGATCAGGTCTCTTGATGAGGACAGTGGTGACAGGAGGGCAGCTCACAATACTCAGCTTTACCTTCACCTGATTCTTCAGACCCTGAACCGTGTCCACAGAAAACAGAAAAGCATATTAGCATTGGTCATTTTAAATAAGTTTCTTACTTTCCAAAACAATGAATGTATCCCACTAACAAGTATTACCTGAAGCCACAAGCTTATTCCTCTGTGTCATAAAGCTTCATTGGTGTCCCAAAAAATATTAAAAACATGATGGGTGCAGTTTCTTTTCTTTTAATCCGACATACATCATCCTGCCTGTTTGAGAAGTGTTTGCTAACTAAAAGGAAATTAATTAGCCTATTTTTCAAACGAAAGTAATTTATTTATTTATTTATTTTATTTACTTACATCTTTCAGTAGCAACCAAAGGTTTTTGGGGACCACAGACTTCTGAGAGTCAAAAAGAACTGAGAGATGGACTAATGAAAATTTCCAGCCTTGTCCATTACTATTTTGTTATTAATGTATGTGGCGTTTCATCGTGTTATTGCATGATTGTGTGGATGGAATAACTCACTTAGGATGTTATATTTTCATGATTCACCCAAACATTTATTCATTCATGTGTTTTGTCCATCCACGTAATTCTTTTGAGGGTCATCTAAGGCTGTAGTCTCCCTCAGTGTGCAATGAGTAGAAAACAGGGGGACAACCTACAGGTCACCAGTCCATCATAGGTCTTATAAAGACACTCAGATCCATCTATTACCACCCACTGCCATTTTCTGATTAAAACATTTCCTTAGTGAGGACTGAATGATCACTGAACATGGAGGTGGCTGATACCTTGATGATGCCCTGACAGGTGGCAAGTGGCAGCCCTACTAGGCTGGTGTCATTTATGGACATAATCTGGTCCCCAACACTGAGTTTTCCGGAGCGAGCTGCAGGGCCACTGTTCAGCATACTGGCCAGGATGACGGTGGGCAGAATGGAGCCCCAACCAGACTCCACAATCACCACACCGAGGTTCTCCCCTTTCTGCTTCTCCACATACAGCTGGAACACAAAAAAAGAAAGGATTTCTTAATACTTCTCAAGCACATTTTAAATTTAAAAAGACATGTCAGTGTTATAGGATTTGTGGGATTCCGGTACAGCCATTTATGGTAAGGGAAATTTTTCATCATCCAGAATTTACCCGGTCAAATAAAAAAATGCCGCACCTCTTTACAATTGTCTGAGTTTGAGAAATGGATGAGGTCATCGTGGTACATTTCTTGTGAGTTGATGATGTCGCTGTATTGTTTCTGGCTCAAGTCAGTTGGGTTGATGCCATTGGCTCGTAGGAACTCTCTGTAGGCCACGCTAAACGCCTGACCGATGGACTGTGCAATGAGCTGTGCCTGTGGAAAGGGAAGTGTTTGGGGAAAACTACTCACAGTGGTTTAAGTGACCAGGAAAACAAATATCTAAAACAAAGCATAAATGCAAAACTAAAAATGTACAATTAAACACTTACATCCTCTGACTCAAAAACATAGCAGATCATCCTGTACTGACTCTTCCCTTCGCAGGCAGAGTCGGGGATTCTGAGAAATCCTCTGATGAGGCCTGACACATGCGCCTCCGTGCCATCAGAACCACAATACTGCCAATGTCAGCGATATAGGAGATTGTACGCAAGGCACTGTCCATCATTGTCTCCTACGTGGAGCAAAAATAATGTCAATCATTACTCACTATGTCTGTAGATAGATTCACTAAAAATGATTAAACACAGAAGGGGAACTGAATCAACACACAACGATCAGTTACTAACCTGTGTGTCAGCATTCAGCACTTTCACAGCTTTAGTGGAGATAAACAGGTCCACTTCTGTCATCATTTGAGAGTCTTCATCTTGGCTCTGTTAAATAAATAACAAATTGTTTTAATCAGATGTTTTATATATATATTTATATATTCTGTACTTAAATCACACTAACACAGGCAAGTGAGCAAAAAAAGGTATGCAACAGCTCCACTATGTGGTAAAGAAATGACACCGCTGTAGCCCAAGTCAGCTGCTAATACATGTACATGTACACTTAAAAATTCCATTCATTTGTTGAAATCCAAATCAAAAGGCACTGAGCTGAACAAGTGTCTTGCTCTTCTACCCAGAGACATCAATTTTGAGTCTTAAACCTGCAAAAAGTCAGTATCTCTGTTTGGTGGCTAGAGCGTTAAAAGCAACTTGATGTAAAGATCCAGGTAACCACCAAATCCTAAATGATTTCTCCAGGACACAAGGCTAATCTATTTGCCAGATTTCTTTGAAATTTGAAATTTTGAGACAAAGAAACGGGAAGAAATTGTACATTAACCTCTTTGGCAGATTTGAATATTCAAAAAATCAAATCAATAGATGCTAACAACCGCCTCTGTGAAGAGAAGGAGTACCTTAATATGACTAACAGCTTCATGGGCCTGGGACATGCGGACAGACTTGGATGGATTTTTATCAGACAACACCTGAGTGCAGCCAAGGTAGTTAGCAGCAAAGATGATCCCATCAATAAGATCTTCTGGCTCACAGGGACCTGGGACTAAGCAGCAGAACAAAAAGGCTCTCATTGAAAAAAACTGTAATGTGCTGCAAAGAAAACTATGAAATGTTAGAGTATTATGAGACAATTACCATCCTCAAAGCTGGGGAAAGCAGCGGCTTCTTGTGTTTTCTTTGAAATAAGTTGACATGTCAGTAAGTTCAACTCCAGTGGAAAACCTTTTTATGGTAATAATACTTGAGAAGACTTTCCGCCATTAATTATCACAGCAAATATTTGTGAGTATTGTGGCGCATATATATTACAAAAGCATTCTCCAAACTTTAGTGTGAATACTGAACAATGTAAAACAGCTGTTTCTAGTCACATCTTTGACTAATCAGATATTGGCTGAATCCTGCTGTTGTGTAATAAGTCTTTACCTTGGCTGTGTTGCTCTCCTCTGCAGGGACGAGCTCTGGAGATTGATGCCCCCTTGGCTGCTCTGGCACGTCCTCAGCTATCACAGCTGAGCTTGGCTTCTCACCCTGTTGTATACAAACATCTGCTTTAACTTAGGCAAGCCTTGTTTGAAATTTTTCTTGCTGTCCTTTGTAGATAATAATCCAATGGGAAAAAGGTGACAAAGACTATTTGTGGCAAAGCAGGTACTGCAATTCAAATCTTGCTTAATTCTCTCTGGAACACAGTGCTGGTAGACTGTATAGAAACACCAACAAACACAGGCCACAGGGGATGAGATCTGACAAAGACCTGGCCTTTTTGCATTGGTTACCTGCTGAGGTTTCTCTGGCCGTGTTTGCCTCTCCTCAAGAGGCTCCCTCTGTTGCTCCGGTGTGTGATGAGGAGCCAGGGATGGTTTGATAACCCTAGGTTCGCTCTCCAGGCTGTTAGCAGAGAGGGGAATGGGTCTGGGAACAGGAGGAGTCTCTATACGAGGCTGGGCTTTCTGGGTGTCGGCAAGCGACCGAGCATGGGAACGACGAGGTGGTGGAGGGGGATGTTGCTTACTGGAACCAGACCTAGCTTTGGTCCGCACAGCAGCTTTTTTGCCGTCCTTTGACGAGGTCTTTGGACGCTGTTCAGAGCTGTTGGTCGTGCATCCTTTCATGCCAGAGACAATCTGCTCAGTGTCCTCTCCTGTTCCCTTCCTCCCTCGGCCTTTACCCTGCCTTTCTTTCTCCTTTGGACCCATGTGAGACGACTCACACTTCTTATTGGCTCCTGGGATATTATGATTTATTGCGACTCGAGAGTCATCTTCTCTTTCCCTTTTTTCATCACCTCCCTTTCTAATTCTTTCATTCCCATTGTCCTGATAAAGGGCTTGAACACTGTTCTCTGTCTCCTCTAAATCCTCTATAAATTTAGCCCCATCCAGCACCTCTTCTATCTCGTCTCCGTCACTGAAGAAGAACCTGTTCTCCCCCTTTTCTAACTCCCTCTGCTTCATCCCCAGCAGTCGGAGCACAATGCGACCTAAAGCGACGGCCTGTCTTGTAAGGCTTAGTGTCTGATTGTGATCCCTCGAATATTTCTGTGCCATGATGAAGCCTGGGAGGCAACTGGTCAACAGCACTGCTGTTCTCATTAATATCATCACCTACTGCATGCTTTATATAGCCAGCATCCTCGGGACAGTACTGTTTGTAATACATCATGTCCACAACGCACTCCCTGTTTAAATGCAGCACCTGATCATAGTCCTGCTCAACATCAGAGCCCACGTTGTCATACTCAGAGCAGGTGTCTTCCATGTCTTCAGGACTACGGTCACAACTCATGTAAAAGTGGTTTGCAGGGTAAGGAGGAGTCAGCTGGTCATTGTTATCATCCTTCAAGGTACACGGTGGTTGCTCAGACGTCTCCTTCACCAAATCTTGCTGCTCTTCTTGGCTCTGTTTTATGAGTTCTGGACTGGGCAGGGTGGAGGGCTGGGAGCCAATATTTTGGAAATGGTTCCTGGCCTCTTTCCATGAGCCATAACCGGCCCTGTAAACCCACTACCCTCAACCCTGTGAACATTAATAGATAAACAAAATTAGATTTCTGAGATGCTTGCATTATGCTCTCTGTAAATTTTCACTTGATATCTTCAACAGCACATTCATACTCTGTTACTGCCTTTTATTCAAATAAATCACTTAACAAATATTACATTTTATAAGAGAATTCACACAAATCAAATTTCTTACTGGAACCAACATTATGTAAAACTAAACTGCCTCTCCTTCTATAAATACACACATCATTTAGCCAATACGATTCCTTTTCAGCTATAATACAAACTCTTTCCTTGTTTACTTTGCAAGCTTTAACAATACAACCCAACAACACATTCCCAGAGCATCTCTGAATCACTCCACACCATTCCAGATTCAAACAACATATGATCAAAGATTCTTTTGCACACTTACACAAACATTTAGAATGAGATTCCCTGTTATATCAGAGCAAATGTCTCTAGTTCACACGAACACAGAAACAATCCCTACTTCAAGGAAAAACTTATTAAAGTCATAATAATGTAATGTAATAATGTCTATTACTTCTACACCATCTAACACATGTGCCTTTTATCTGTGGTGACTGCTGATGTTGTTTGTTATCTGTCATCTTGTTTTGTTGTGTCTGCTCTAATTTCGCCTTGACATCCTGCAGAACTGCAAGTGAGTCAGGCCAGTAGCATGTGATGTTTTTCTTATGTAAAATCACTGTTACCTATTCCAGTCAAAGTGTACCCTCATTTACAAACTCATCCCTGAAACATTTATATAATGTGTTTAGTGTGGGAGCCACATTTATGACCCATGACTTGTGTCGTCTGAGGAGACCGTTTATGAAATAGTACATCATTCTTATGACATCTAAAAAGCATCCCTGATGGATGTTTGACCTGGACTTAGGCACAACACAACATCCTATGTACTGGCAAATGAACAGATAAGTTCCATAAGAATGTCAATGTAGCTTGTTGAAAATGTATTTGCACTCTTTGTCGCTTTCATGATTTCTTTTAGTTGTTTAAGGAGTCAAACAGCAACAAAAAAAGAAAAGATACAAATCACAACACAGTTACACTGAATCAAACAAGGTCATAAAGCACTATAGAGCTGAATTGATTCATTAATTAATCAGTTAGTTGATTGACAGAAAGTTTTCCTAAGTTTCTGTGATAGTCACTTGAACATCTTTGAGTTCTGGACTGTTAGTCAGACTGAAAAAGCAACTTAAAATTGTCAATGCTTGTGCTCTTGGAAAATGTGATTTCAAATTATTTTTATAAATATTCTGTAGACCAAACAATTAATTGATTAATCAAGACACACAAGATACGGGATGGCTGCCTCACTGTGTTGGTGCGCACTGTTTTGTCTTGTTTTGTTGGTGTTACATTAACGTAAAGTCTCCTCATCAGACTCACTGCATTTCTTATTGTCTCTGCTGATTGCACAAATTCTCTATACTTAATACTTTGAGCATTTAGACATTACATACTCTTCGTTTAAAATACTATCCAACTCTCTTGAAAAACAGATATATTTTACATATTTGTTTAAATATGTTTTGTACTGTAAATGTCTACTTTATGTATAATTCTTGACTTTAGCAGTACTTGTTATTTTTCTTCTTTCTTTTACAATAGTTAAACCTGATTCTGAAGAAAATAATTGTCAGATTGACTGAAATAATAGTTAGTGGCAGCCCTACAGCACTGCATACAGACAACATCAACAAATGGATATTAAGAGTGAGTCTATTCAACAAAATAAATACTAATCCTATGAATTTTACATACATTGTTACACACTGATCAATTGATTAGAGTCATATATTTGTTATTTTAAACAAATGAAAGGCAAATACCCCCCTAGATGTGATAGAGATCCACCCAGTCTAAACATGTCAACACCCTCATCTGAATATGACCCGTAAGCTTGTGGCTGAACTGGAAAAACGCTTCTGGATGTGATTTAGCTTTAACACACTAAACACAATAAATCCCCACTGTTCACAGATTTGATCAGATGATAATGCAACTGAGATTATTATGAGCACAAAAACCTAATCTCCCCCTATCCCCTCCGTAGTATAACAAGCGGACCTTATCTTGACCTCTCCATGGTGCTGAAGTGTTAATTAAAAACAATAAGGTTTATAATAGGCTTGGATTGAGGATCGGCATTTAAGATTTCACGCCCTGCCCTTGGCGTATTTGTGGTGGCATTTTATAAACGCATTACGCCGAACTTTTGCCGCAGCTGCAGGAGTGGTTGTTGTGGTTGCTCCGGTTTCCCCACAAGTGTACGTCGCATTCCCATCTGCCAACATAAAATAATCGGATGTTTTCCTGCGCATATAGCACGCGGTGATAGAACTGATTCCCTCCACACATGCACACACACACATACACACACACTGCTGTTTTCACCATCTGTAAGCAATATTATCCTGTTGGTGCAATTCACATCGACCTTGATTTGAAGCATCGAGATTGCACCATGCTGACAACCAGCTTAAAGGGCTGATGTAGTACCAGAGGAGCACATCTCAGCTTTGTCTTCAGCCCTGCTATCGGGAGCCACATCAGGCCTTTATGCATCTCTAGAAAATTTGTTTTTTTACATGTGGGCCCATACTTGGATAATTCCGCGTGGCACTTACCAACATCAGTCCTGTCGGCGCCCTCCTTGTAAAAATGCCCGTGTGCTGATCAGATCAGATTGCTCTCCGGAATGGTGATTTTTGAATAAAAGCCGCACAGCAGCCCAGGAACCTGTGTAGAAAATACACCCCCATCATGTGCTCACTGCTCTGTTCTCCCAACAAATAACAGTGAGAGGCATATTTGAGTACGTAGTAAAACATACGTCTAAATAACTTACCCACATCATTTTAATTTAAATCAGTTAAACAATATTTATTTCTTACAGCCCAGATATTTAAGCATGTGCCAAGGTGTCATTTGTAAATACGGTAAATCGTATTTGTTATCATTTACTTAAAAAAACATTTTTTTTAAAATATACACATAAATATTGTACATTTTAAACAACATTTTTGATTTATTTTACCTTGGCCTTAGGTAGGTTAGGTATAAATAATCGATGTAGTTGCGATCGATTACTTCACCCTAGAAGGCATTCTGCGCTCTGCTGGTTAAGCCTGGGAAGCGGGACCGTTGTTATCGTGCAGCCCTTCTGTCACCAGTAAGTTAGCTTATGTTTTGAACCGTTGGTTGTCTTTATATTAATGTATTTGACGATTTTCTAATGCAGGCGTGAAGCCACAAAAGCTACAAATATGTGACAGTTTAAAATGATTTTTTTCTTTCTTGGTTAAGTTAGCATTTAAGGTTAGCTAAACAGCATTATCGACCCTGTCCAAAGCTATAGTTCTCCTGAGTATGCAGCAAAGAAAAACGCGAAGGTTTTCATCGAGCAGCAGCTCTTCTGCCTGCACCATGTCCGAGAGAGCCACCAAAGACAAACTCAAGCGAAGTCTGTCTTTGTCCAAGACCAAGAAGAAAGCCGATGCCAAAACTGGGATTTCTGCCAGTGCAGCCACCACAACTCCAATCACGTCGTTCTTCAGCAGCCAGCCTCCACCCAAGCTGGCCTGCCCCCTGTGTGGCCAGTTGGTACCAAGATTCAAGATCAATGATCACATTGATTTGCAATGTCAGAACTTTGAGAGAGGAGACAGCAGTGCCGCAACAGCAAGTAATAGTGTTGTGGCAAGCATCCAGCTGTCACCCAGAAGGAATCCCCAGAAGTCCCCAGAGCCGGGTCCAAACAGAGAACAAGAGGTCAAAGAGACCAATACCAGCCCTTATTTCAAAAAGACTAACTTTCAGCAGGCACCACGGGAGATAAACCGTAAAGGCGTGGTCAGGACGATTGACCTGGGAAGCCTCTCCTCCAAGTTATCGAGGATATCTTATAAGGGACCTGAGAGGACACAGCCAGATAATAAACATGCACCAACGTATCCTGAAAAGGAGATCTATTCTTCTGAGACTCTCTGTAGCAGCTCACAGAAGGAAAATCTTCTGATTGATACTTTAGGAGATAAAAACGACTGTTTGACAACAACCAGTGCAGACCCTCCACTAGCTGTGGAAAATCTGTCATGTCCAGATAAAAGACACTATCTTGAACACAAAGCATCTAAATCAGAGACTGTGCAAAAACTGCTTACTCCAAAGCTGCATGCTTCTTCCTCCAAACTAGCAAAGAGAAAAAAGGAAACAACTTCCACCGGTAGGGGGTCTTATTTGAGAAAGAAAGCAAAATATGAGGGGAGCAGCAGAGAGACAGAGGAGGTGTTTTCTAATGAAAGTATAGCAGAGGCAACTGATACGGCCCAGCTTAAAGCTGAGGTACCTTCTACTACTACTTGTGACCCCCCCCTGAGTTCACAGGAAACATATGAGAAAAGTGATGCAGCGGTCAATAATGATTCACTGCCAGAGTCTGGTCACGAGAACGGCACTAGTGACCATGCTGCTGAGAGCTCACCCCCCCCACGGCTTCCCTACTACCTCCGTAACTTCCGGACCGTACTACAAGCTGTGCTGGAGAATGAGGACGACAGGGCATTGTTCGACCAGCATGATATGTCATTCGTACATGCATTTGAGAAGCTCTCAGGTATGCCAAAATATGACTCAGTCACTGTTATTAATGTAAGTAAAGCCTCATCACTCACATGTATTTTTCCTCTCAAAGTCATGGGGCAGAAGCTCTATGTGAGACTCTTTCAGAGGAAACTGAAGTGGCTCCAAGTAAATAAACTGGATTATGAAGAGATATGCAGTGATCTGGGACCTGTTGCTGAGGAGCTGGTTCGAGGTGGTTTTCTACAGACAGGTACATTACATATATTTTGACATTTTGTAGCATCTTTAGGAGAGTTAACGAAAAGCTCTTGAATTATTGACATAGTTATGCTGTTGAAGGCTGATATTCATGTTCCGATCCTCCGCTCTTCCTGTCCATTTGTCTAAGTGTCCTTGATCAAGACACTGAGCCCCAGGTTACTCCTGATGGGTATGCCAGCACCCTGCAGGGAGACTGAGAGGCAAAACTGTAAAGCACATTGTCAGTTACCTACCTCAGCTGCAGCAACAAACATACAGTCAACATAAATAAATGTAGAAATATATAAATATGGAATAGAAGAACAACGTTGCAGATATATATACATGTGCATTATTCTGGGTCTGTGCCATGCAGAAGTAACGTAACGGAAGAGAATATTGTGTACATATAAATATATAAACTGATAACATAAAAATATACAACAACAAAGATCAGCAATCAACAATAAGTGTGTGCAACATGCCAGGTCTGTGCCTGACACGAGTTGAAACAGTATTTACATGTGCAGAGACATTTGTATTTGTAACTTTGTTTTGAAAAGTGATATACAAATAAAGCATATATAATAAAATACGTATGTTATCCTGCTGAAACCACACCACATCACTCCAAGGTTTTCTTTTGTTCTCCTATGCTGTTTTTGTGTATCAAAGAAAATGACCTCCAGGAGTTAAGCGAGGCTCTGGATCTCCTGCCTGCTCCTGAACTCAAAGCTCTGGCTAAGACGTTCCATCTGGGCAATTCTGGGACTCAGAAACAGCAGCTAGTGGATGGACTTCTCCGTCTGAGCAGGCAAAAATCCCTCTTCTCTCTGACCTCTGCACAAAACAACATTGGGGCTGTCATTCTCAAAAGGTGCGATGATCAAACACATTGTGTTCATTCACAGTAGTAGCTATGGATAACTATGACCTTGATGGCTGAGAATCTTCACAGACATTCACAGTAATTGTTTCGCAGTAATGATCTCACCCCTGTTCTCTCTAACTTTAAAGGGCAAAGCAGCTTGCAGGTTTCTGTGTGTCTTTGTCTTGGTCCTCGGGCTGTCTTCTCTCGCATCCTTCTACTCTTCTCTCTGACGGACACCATGGATGAGGAGGAGACGGCAGCTGGTGGGCAGAACCAGCTCTTCACCATCCTGCTGGTCAACTCAGGACGCCTGGCCTTCCCAGACTACACAGTGCAGCGCGCATCCAAGGTGTTCAGGGACAGAGAGGATCTTATCAGGTGCGGGTCTGCCAAAGAATTCTGTTGAGTTTATATTTCATATATGCAGGACGGCCAGGAATGAATACTCTAATGATACTAATGATTCCATCCATCACACCAGATATGAAGCCTCCATGCGAGCCCTGCAAGAGGTAGTCTCAGCTATGCAGGGAGGTCAGTGGGAAGAGGCCATGCAGCTTTATAGTGCTGCCAAAAGTGCCTGGCAGGAACTGAGGAAAAAACATGACCTCAGGTGACATAAATCTACTAATTTGCTTCTGTCTAAACACTCAGTCTCTGAATATTGTTTAATGTTAATGTTATCATTGTGTTGGATTAGTCACCAGCAGGAGCTACCTGTGTTCCTGCGCAGCTTCACCACGGGATGGGCTTACACTCGCATCTTGTCCAGAGGAGTGGAGATCTTGCAGAGGCTACGTCGCTATGAGGTTTTCTGACCATATCCATTCACACTCTCACACAAATTCAAGTACTCATGAAGTTATGTCATAGTTAAAAATGTTAAAGGGGTTTACTTTTGTGTTACAGGAAGCAGTAGAGGAGCTGCGGTCCTTACTGTTACAGTCTGTTTACTGTCCTGACAGCCGTGGGCGATGGTGGGACAGACTGGCACTAAACCTTCACCAGCATCTGAAGAAACCCGAGCAAGTGAGCACCAGCATCTGAGGTGTCATTCACCTCTGTCTGACATCTTCAGCATTTATCTCTTCTTGTGACGTTGTGCTCAGTTGTAGCTGTTGTGTTTTCATTTGTTTGACGGCGGTCTTTGCCCATTGTTTCTAGGCTATTTGCGCTATCAGAGATGGGCTGTCAGACCCTCTGGTGCGGACTGGGCATAAGCTCTCTCTTCATCAGAGAGCGGTTAGGATGAAAGAGTCTGCCAGCTTCAAGAAGTATCGCCTGCAACTAAAAGACCTGCCCACTATTGAAGTCCAAGATGTCAAACATGTGAGTCCAACACAACACGTCAGTATTTGGGGTTTTGGGGGGAAAATAGAAATGACTGGGTGTAAGTAAAATAATATATTAATGAATTGGTATTTAAACTTTGTCTGCAGGTGACCATCCGAGGACAGCTTTTCCCTCATGAGGGGGGCACAGGGAAATCTATGTTTCTTTTACCAGCAAATAGAGAGGGGGAAGAGAGTGCTAATGCCACTGTAATATGCTCTGTGGAAGAGCTGTCTTTAGCACATTACCGCCAACAAGGCTTTGACCAAGGTAAGCTGTTGTGCTTTGCCTATTAAAAATATTTCAGTATCCTTTCATCATCTTAACATCACATTGCCATTGTTAATGTAATAGGGATCCATGGAGAGGGCTCAACATTCTCAACATTGTTTGCACTACTGCTCTGGGACATCATTTTTATGGAGGGTATTCCAGATGTTTTCAGAAATCCGTACCAGGTAAAGTAAGGTAAACGTATTTAACATCTGTGGGATATCTGTGCATCTATATCGGTTTAACTCATCTACCCATCTTCTCACAGACATGTCCACTGGATCTTTACACCGACTGTTTCTATGAGAACAGAAAAGAGGCGATCGACTCTCGTGTGCAGTTACTCAGCGAGGCATCAGTGGTGACTCTGCATGACATGTTGGTAGATGTGTGGACCTCCCATGAGGGTAAAGTGTGTTCATTGGTCAACTGGGAGCGTTTCTCATCCCTTCAACAGGCACAGGTATTTACTGTCACTCTTCTAAATATATACTCAGTGGCCACTTTTAGGTTACATATTAGGTACACATGTAAAATCGAATGCAATGCAATTCAATACAAAACAGCTCAGCCATAAATTCTACCTTTTCAAAGATGATCAGTTCTGACTGACACCGTCTGCGACATTTTGATTTAACAATATGTTTATTACTCAGGTTTTAATTTACAGTGATGTTAAACTTTACTTCATTATAGAGGTGTTTCTAATGTTTTGCCAACCCCATTATCCCCAACCCCAAAATAATGCTATCCAGAACAAGACCACCACTATCTACGACCTCAAGAATAAACGTGGTGTTAAATTAATATCTCTCTATACTAATTACATTTAGGGCTGCAACTAATGATTCTTCTCATTATCAATTAATTTGCAGATAAGTTTAGTGTATAAAATGTCAAAATATTTTCAAAAATTTAGGCCAAAGTGACGTCTTCAAATTGCTTCTTTATCATACCAACAGTCCAAAACCCAAAGATTCATAAATGACAAAGAAAGGCAGCAAATACTTTCATTTTAGAAGCTTGTACCAGCAAATGTTTAACATTTTTGCTTGAAAACTGACATGATACCATTACTTACCAAAACAATTCATTTTCTTTCCATTGACTAATCCATTAATTCATTAATCAGCTGTGATCATATTGTATAATATATAAATGTGGTACTAACATAACCACTACCTTTTTTGCAGTCTCTCGTGTCATGCATGGGTGGAGCCTTCTTAGGAGGGGTAATAGCACGAATGTCTAAAGACTATAGACACTGCCGTGGGGGTTTGCCTGATTTGGTGGTGTGGAACACCTCAAACAACAGCTACAAGGTGAGATTCTCACATCCTGGCTCTTTGAATTTGATATTTTCCATTTTATTTTAACTCTAGATACATGGATTATTCTGCACCATGGAATTTAACATGGGAGGTCTTGTTGTTGTAGTTGGTGGAGGTGAAGGGCCCCAGTGACCGGCTGTCCCAGAAGCAACAGATCTGGCTGGATGAGCTGCAGAAACTTGGGGCTGATGTGGAGGTGTGTCACGTGGTGGCTACTGGAGCCAGAGGAGCTCGTCTGGAATAAACGGACACAGACGTGCTGACTGATAAGACTAAGCTGCTAATTAATCAGAGTGTGGTCAAAAGGAAACAATGATCTGGGTGCTTTGTTTTCAAATTCTGGTCTTCTAGGACAGGTGTGGATGTTTATGTTTATCTTTCATACATCACAAACTTAATCCTATCTGAGTGTAGGGAATTTCGTGGCGAGGAGTGTGCCTTGTGACATGTGGCGTTATCAGGGAAACCTCTGCCTTCAACAGGAAGAGGTGCATCATGAGATGAAGATTATCACTGAGGGCTGCCACAACTACAAGTAGCTTGCAGATAATCAGAGCTGATGCATGACAGGAAACACCAACCAGGCACCAAATTGATAGTGTTTCCTTTTCTTTGGCAACACTATATTTTCAGGATCTTGGGTTGCCAAGCAATGAAAACATTTAGTTGGCTGCTGACGAATTGTATGACTGCTCTATGAGTTTGTCACTACTCTACCAGAAAAAAACATACAAAATAAGGGCTGCAAATAAATTATTATTTCCATTATTAGTGTTTGTTTTATCCATTTATTGATGAATTGTTTGGTCTATAAAATGTCACAGGAAATACTGAAAATGCCATCATCACATTGCTTGTTTTGCCCGAGTCAAAAACAGTCCAAAACTCATGAATTATTATTATTATACTCATTATTCAGCTTAGTACAACCATCACATATGAGAAAGAAAGGCAGCAAATTCTCACAATTGATGAAGCTGGAACTTGGAAATGTGTTAAAAATTACTCAAGGATTCAATGTAATTTATTTGTCATTTTACAACAGGGTTGCAAAAAGAAATTCTGTTTGCTCAAACCTAAACGAGTAATTAGATTTATTGTAATGGTTATCAAACAAGTTGCCAATTCATTTTCTGTTGATTGTTTTCTATATATTTTATATATAATATGTAATGGTTTCAAAGACATTTTCATTGAACTGTCTTGGTGTGTTTAAAAAAAAAAAAAAGTAAGAACTTTTATGGTGTGGACACTTACATATATATATATATATATATATATATATATATATATATATATATATATATATATATATATATATATATATATATATATATATATATATATATATATATATATATATATATATATATATATATATATATATATATATATATATATATATATATATATATATATATATATATTATTATTATTTTCCTGTTTTCGAGTGAGCCTGTAATGGTGGAAAACATGTAGACATTGCATACATGACACTACACCAGGCAGTTAGTGCTGTGCCTGTATTGTAATGTATGCAGGCCTGTATGATGCATTTGGGGGAAGGGATGCCAAGCTTCTCTGCGTCTGACGTCATGACGCCGGAGAGAGGGGGCGATAAGAGTAAGGTGCAATAAACACAGGGCGTCTGCGCCTATCTAAGTAGGACAATAAAGTGAAAACGGTATCAATGTTCTAACAATGGATTTGTCAGATATGCTGCTTCTTCAAGTTTTCCTCTTCGTGTACTTGCTAAACCACACCCAAGGTGAGTGAGGCATTCGCTGAGATAACCTTACAAGTTGTGTTGAATCCATGAAGCAGCGGCTGAAATGAGCAGAAAGGATGATAGCCCGTTAGCTAACAGGAGGGATCAGCAGGGCCTGCTTGTTATGAAGAGGACTGCACCCTTTTTGCCGTATTACTTCAAGCTAACAAATTACATATATTGCAAAAGCTTACTTGGATTCGTGCAGTTGATTGAAATAAACCGATGTCGCTGAGTTATTTCTGTGTGTTGTCACCGTTTTTATTGTCAGGCTTGACTCTGTTTTGTTGTTATCGTGCGAATAGCGCCGACAGCCATTGTTATGAGAAGACGGGGATGCCGACTGTGTTAACGGACCGTTAGCTTTGTGCTAGCTAACACTTTAGCCGCTAACGTTAAGATTTCTGTCGAAAATAATACATTTGCCACTGACATGATGTCGTCTGCACGGTGTCAGCGATTACATTTTATATGACACAAGTTTTAAGGTTTGCTGGCATGCTTTTGTTGACTGTTGTCACTGGTCAATGTGTTGTGCTGTTCTCGCTGTTCTGTAATTTAACGTAATGTTACTGTTCGCCGCAATAACTGGATTCAATGTTTTGGCAATAATTCGTCTGTGTGATTGTTTGTATTTGGGAAACGAAATTGCTTTCCCCCGTATGCTGTACTTGTGATGCATCTTTTGGCATCATGAACCTGCAATTTACTGCTACTGTGCTTATTATACCAGTAAGTTAATTAGCTAACGTTACTTAGGAGCCACATTCACTTCCTTAATAGTCTCCATGTTTAAGTTTGGCGATGGGAATATCTTTTAATTTAAATATTGATCCCTTTTCAAACTGTCAAAAGTCACAGTCATAACTTTTTCACGTAATAGGGCCGCGTGGTAAAATTAAAATCAAAAGATGCATGTGACTGCGATTGACCACGCAGTTTTTATCAATCTTGTGGTGTTTTGAAGGATCACCTAAGAATTTGACATACTTGTTTTTGGTCAGTGTTTATTGTCTTTTTAGTAGGCCTTGAGAAATTAAGATATTTCAGTATAGTAGAGTAATAGTCATGGCCTAAATTTAATCTTGGCACTTAAATATTTCATAATGCGCATGAACAGAGTACTAGCAGAAAGCTGGTATACTTACCCATCTTTGTTATGTTTACAGTGAATCCTGTAATTTATTCCGTACTAGTCAGACAGGACTAATTACATTGTACTTACTGAAAATACTTTCTTTTGGTGTATATGTTGTGGGGCAAATATCTGATCTTAAAGAGTATGCTTAGTCTACTGTGTAAACATTGAAAACACAGTGACTTTCAGAAGGGCTTAAATGGCTTAAACAAGATTACTGTGTTTTCTTAAAATGGAGTTTGTCATACTGTATTTGAATGTGAAGCAGCTGGTGAAACGGGTGGAGGTGCTCGAGAATCTCTTTTCCTTCGAACCCACCACCCACTCTTCTGGTGGTGAAATAATACTCCTGTGATGCTGGGGGCTATTCTTGAGCACAGCTCCAAAACTGGCATCCATTTGACTTAAATAGATTTTAGCAGCTGAATTTTAAAATGCAGACTATGCTGGTTTGCTGTCAATTTCCATCATTTTAATCCTGCTTGTCGAATGTCTGCCTGATCAACCATTTTTTTTGGGCACCTAAATAATCCTAACATGGACCATGCCTCAGTTATTTACTCTAACACACAGCTGTTATACTTTACCTTTTAAAGAGAATATCTAATGCTTGAGATATATTGCTAAGCATACAAAAGAAGCGTTTTATTTTATCTACTAAGAATATTCAGTGTGACAGATGCACTGTGGTACCAAGGCAGTTACAAACATATGGCTTTGGATGTTAGTATTTTTTCCCCCAACATTTCGGGGTTAGACTCTTTATATGTAGGTTGTATTCTTATGTTACCTTTTTATAATCTTCTTATATTTCTGTATAATGAGCACATCTATATGCGCACGTTATATATATATGTTTTTTTTTTTTTTGTCCAGTTCTGTATACTATGTACATACACAACCTAGAATGAATGACACTAATATTGCATCCATCCCTCCCATCCACTTGGGAGCTGTCATTTACTGTGATTCTATAAGGCTCTGCATTTCATCAAGTTTCATAAGGCTTGTATTTTCTGTTTTTGCTGATAACAGGAGTTCCTCTGTTCTTTTCACTCAGGACACTATAGAAATCCCCTGAACAAGTACATCCGTCACTATGAAGGCCTGTCCTACGAAACGGAGCTTGTGGACAGCAAGCATCAGAGAGCCAAGAGGGCACTCTCTCATGAAGACAAGTTCCTTCATTTAGATTTTCATGCCCATGGAAGGTTTGTCTGTTTTTCTAGATATTAACCTGAAGGGAATTTCTGTCTGCAGCTCTATTTTTATGTCTCATCTATCTCTTTATTTACCTGTGGGGTTTATAGGTTCTCAAAGCTCATCCCATATGCCTACATTGTTTATGATTTAAAGGTGGAGGTCAGCTATAGCACAGATTTGCAGTGTGATTGAAAAAGGTTTACATTTAATCCTGTTGTATGAAATGAAAGACCTGCTCAAGGGCGTCACATTGGTTGTGTGGTGAAGATAGATTTTAAATTTCAGCCTTAGATCTTACTGTGTAGTTTCTATGGTCTCCATTAGAGCTAAAACGATTAATCCATTGATTAATCGATAGGAAATGAACTACTTTTGAAAATTGAGTAATTGTTCAAGTTGTTTTTCAAGCAAAAATACCAGACATTGCTTATTTCCTGCTACACAGCTGTGAGGATTTGCTGTGTTTATTTTTCTAATGTGACAGTAAACTGATAATTTTGGATTTTGAACAAGCTATTTTAGACATTAGTTTGGACTAGATAATTGTAAATTAATCGGCAGAGTAATCAATATCATTTTTTGATTGATTGGTAGATGTGGCCCTAGCGTAGATTTGTCCTGATTTCCTCCCACAATCTAAACACAGGTTGGGTAAAAATTGTTAACGTGTTTGTGTATGTTAGTTAGCCCAGTGAAGGATCAGGTGTTACCAGGGTGTGTCTGACCGCTTGATACCTGGGTGGGAACCCCCTCAAGGTGTAGTGGATGGATGGATGTACTTAGATGGATGGCTGGACACATAGATGGATGAGCAGCTACATATATTCCGTGATGGTTCTTCCATCCAGCATTTTGAAGAGGTGGTGTGGTGATAGAAACGCTCTCCATGACATAGTCAAGACCATCTGGCTGGGAGCTTGGCAAAGGCTGTTTATCGTCCTGCCTGTAGCAGGGCCTGCTGTTCCCAGACTCCGATGCTCCTTAATAGGGAAGAAGACAATACGAGCTGTTCAAACAAACACAATGAAGGAAGATGTCTGTTCCTTTGAAAAGCAAGAATGTGTCAGCTTCTTTTGCTTTCAGCTTCCTTCAATTCATGACCAAGCATGAGACACAGCTCACATTCTTCATTTAATTTGCAGCACCCCATCCACCTTCTGCTTGCTGGTTTTGTGCAAGAATGTGTTCTCGGGTAGAATTTTAATTCACATTTCCCCCCTGAGATTATGTCATAACAGATTTGGTACACACACAAGACCAGACTTGTGTGCCATCATGTCAAGTTTGACCACCATTTTCTGATCTAAAGTTTACAAATGCGTCTGTGTTCTTGCAGTTAATTTAACTGCTGTATGCAGGCCTACATAGCTGTGACTTACACACAATACGAGTATACAATAAGAGCACTGTGTAGGTGTTACATGAAACCCAAGGTTTACTGTAACATCTTGGTTTCCCTGCCATATGTTTGATCAAAAAACTGCATTGTTTCAAGATGTCCTAATTTTCTGTTCCCTCTCTTACAAGATGAAGACTGCAGTTCCCTTTCTGCAACAGAAAACAGCTTAGATGTTTTCTCTCTGCCAAAACATGCCCTTCCTTTCACCCTTTTTTTTTTTTTCTCCTTCCATTTGCATTTTCCTTTTTTTTTTTTTTTTT